TCACTTCACAATAAGCGAGCATCCGGAAGTTAGAACATGACAGCAGGATGAGCTCTCAAAGTGACCCAGCAAAATCTCTTTTCAGGGTTGTGATGACATTGTGAGAGGCCATGCAATATAAAGACTGATTCATTGTATTTTACTTGTTAAACAATGTCATTAAATCAAACTAGGCAACCTACCTGGCATGTCCAAAAGTGCGAAATACTCCTTGCAAAATGTTGTTGACATCTTCAGGGTCAAAGTTGAATTTTGTCTGGAAGCAGTTATATTCAGTGATAGTTTAGTTGGCACATATTAATCCCAAATGGAATATTCTTGAGGTTGCATTGTCTGGACTATGTCAGAGTTTTTAATATTATCATTTTTATTTATACTGAAAGGGGGAAAAAATTAATAAAAAAAACAGAAATGATATGTTTCGGTGAGTGGAATTCTGGGATTTAATTTTAATTCCCATTTTACAGAGTAGTTCTGTGACTGGCTAATTTGAGAAAAGAAGCGGTTCTGCGTGCAAATTTATAGGTTACACATGACTCTTGTAAATGCTGAACAATGGCAAATAGGATGAGCTGTTCCTACTTTCTTACAAATGTCACCTGCCAGAGTAGACAAATCCTGATAATGAGTTGAAATCATTTTGTGAGGCAACTGTCAAGGCGAAAGAAGGCAGGATATTCTGTTTTGGGATGAGTTATTGCGTATTATAAGTAACACTGTGAATCAGTAAAATAAACGTGAATGTTTACTTTGCAAGTCAATTTACAGCATGTATCGCTAAAATGTTGAGTTAGGGGCGACTGTGCTACGAGATTAAAAAAAATAATCTGGAGCCCTGCCAGTGACATCACTTCTGGGTGACGCGCATTGAGACCCAAAATCACCCAAATGACTGTTACAGTACTGTAATGAGTGGTTAGCGTATACGTCAAGATGGCGGATTTTATTTGATGCATTTGTCACTGAATGTGAAGCGACCTCTTCGCAGTGAAGTTAAATGCTCTTGACCTTTTCTTCTCCAATGTTACACGGTGTGAAATTGATTCATGGAACATTTAGGAAGAGTTTCATTTTATTTGTGCACCAAGTGGAATTTATAATTTTATATTTATTTTTTAAGATCTTGTTTATTTATGATCATTATTTTGTGCTTTACCACTGATATGATGGTTCAAACCACTTCTGCACTAGACTCACATCCATTTACTGAACACATTTATTACATAGCTTTCGAGACAGAATTTCAAGAACTGAAAAGGTAATGTAAACAGGCTTTGTTTGGCTTTAAGCCAGAGTTCAAGATCCATAACCATTAATTCATTGTTTAATGAGTAATTTAGCGACCCGGTTTTGACATGCCTGCTCTAACAGGGGGTCTCAAACTCAATTTATGTGGAGGGCACTGGAGAGTCTGAGTCCATCTGGGCCGCATCAAGTATTCTGCAGGGTTCAAGTATTCCAAAATAAGTACAACTAATCCAATCTTCTCAATCTTCATTAATAACAGTTCCAAACATTGGTTCTATAGAACGTGAACAAGATTGGTGACGCGGTCCTCTCTCATTCATCTCCCTTTGTATTTTGCGTACTCCTCAGCATGTCTGTCGACTTGAGTAATGAGTTCAGATTTTTTTGAGCACAGCCATGTTCTTTGTGACTTCAAGACCTGTCAGGTGCCCCTGTGGAAAAGACATGACAGGAGAACATTTCCTTTCACTTTGTGTCACTTCAGAATGGCGTTTAGCTAAAAGCTGTCATGAGGGTGAGCTACAGTAGCCCATAAGTGATTGAAAAAAAAATGCCCAGGGCAATGACATGGCAAAAAATGGTGATGGCCACATTAAGATTTAACTTTGATGTCACGTGTCCTGCAGGCCACAAATGGCCCCCTGGCCACGATTTCGACACCAACATCCACTACCAGCACTTGGTTTATTAAAATCAAAATGACGGAATTGGCTGTAGCTTTCCAAACAAAGGGAATGGGGGTGCCTTCTGAGGGTAGGTAGGGTCGCCACCTTTCAGATCTGGAAATAAGGGACACTCCTCACGGCGTCGTGGCAAAACCACGCGGGCCAAAGAAATGTGAGGGTTTGGCTCCCCAAAATCCCGAATTGCATAGAATCACATGTATTTTATATGTGAAAAAAAACAACAAAATGTTTTTTACTTAATTGACATTATTTAACATGTCATACAGTATTAGCCTCTTGGCCCTGGGGTCACTCAGTTGTCAATAAGGAAGGAGTCAAGAAAGCATTTAGACGTACTTAAAGTGCTTTATGAGCAATGAGCATTATTTTATTTTATTTTATTATTATTATTTTTATAGACTGAAGGAGCCTGAACCTCGTCATAACCTATACGTATAGGCTATTAAAACTGTTGTAAATTAAACAAAGATATACTTTAACACTTTTAACAATTATAAAACATTTAATAGCCTGAACTTGAGCATATAGACCTGGCCGACTGTATTGTATGCATAGAAAGTGCTGTAAATTAAACAAAGCCTGTCTGGGGACACTTTCACTGAAAGAGGACAATACTTTAATTAAATAGCCTATAAAGTGCTGGAAATGTAACAACTGGGCACACCTTTGCTTTATAAGATAAGATAAGATAAGATAAGATAAGATAAGCCTTTATTTGTCCCGCAATGGGGAAATTTACAGTCAGAGTTCAAAAAGGAAACCACAAGGTAGGGAGAGGGAAAAAAAAAAAAAAACCACGCTCGAACTATCCTCTTCTGAGGATAATTTAAGTCCAGGATAAAAAAAGACCCTAGCACATAAATAAGCATATGACAGTTACAACAAGTCACAAGACATAACATGTAATGAGGGGGCGAATGAATGGGAAGGGATGGGGGGGCGACCGCGACGCGGCCCGTCTGACCAGCTGCACGGTCCACCGAGCGCTCCGCAGATCATTCCACGTCGCGGGGGAAAAGAATAGGAACGATGAAGACGGTGATGATAAGGATGTGTATGCGTGTGTGATTGTCTGGTTGTGTATGGGTGAACAGGCCGCAGCTGCTCCGTCAAGGTCTGCTCATGAAGACAGTCCTGGCTTATCAGTCCATGGCCGAGAAGGAGGGGGGTGATGGTGGGGGCACTAGCTTCCGTGCATACCTTCCATCCAGGGGAAAGGGGTCCAAATAGCGTTGTTTGTTTTGGAGGGACGGCCGCCAACAATTTCAGGTGGCCTTG